ATTTAGGTTAAAAAACACAAACATATACATATAAATACTATAACACTATTCATTATTTATACCAAAGCAAACAAGCTGATTACATATTATTAGTAGCCAGAAGTACAATCACATGACTTAAATTGAATAACTAAATACAGCATATGATAGAAGACTTTAAATATGTTCAATTTACGCTATAAATCTAAAGTGAACAAATTCAAGTATTGTTACTTGGCAAAAATTTGAAATCTGCAAATTTTTTATTTTTTTTTTTTGATAAATGCTTTTTCTTCTTTACAAAGCATATTACTATCTTGGCTGAATTACACCATTATCACTACACTGAGGATTTTCAAGATAACAAATATGAGTATTATTTTAAACTATGGTCTGAATTAAGTTTAATTCAGGTGTAACTTAAAGTAACATCTATATCCATTATTGAGAATTTATAGTAAATAAAGTGATTTAATAGGCATGCAATGCTTTTTTTAAAAAAAAAAACCCTAATTTCAAATTAGCAGATTGCTAAAAACTAGATAGCACTATCAAGAATGAAGTTTTATATGATAACAAAAACTAAATTCAGCTTTGTTATAACAAAAAAACTAGACCCACTTTAGCTTGATCAAACTCGAATATGTTATTTTGAAAACACCAATACATATTATTTTGTAACTATGTATGCCATTTTCAAGAAGTTTGATTTTCAAAATAATGTTTACCTATTTTTTATAACAGTATAGTAAATAAATAAATAAATAATAAAGATTATAATTTTTTTTTAAAAATTCTTAAATTTGATCATTATCATTAAATTAAAATAAATTATATAACTATCATGTACCTGAATATAAAGTTTGATGGTTGTTGGCCATCAATTAACCTACATATTATGTTTTCTAAACAAAAGACTGCCCTTAATAATGCCCAAAAGTATGAATTCTGTCTTTATACTCATGATAATAAATTGACTCGTACAAAGTATATAGATTGGATTGAAGAAAAATAGGGTGTTAGAGTCCATGAATCTACCATTACACAAATCTTACAAACCAAAGATAAATGGCTTACCACTGAAATTGTTAATCCTAAAAAAAAAAAAAATAGAGCTATCACAGTTCCAGTCCTTGAGCTTGCTTTTAAGGAATTTGTGCTAACTTATCAGTATAAAATGATCTTAGATGATGCATTGTTAATCAAAAAAGCAAAATTACTTGCTAGTAGGTTGGGAGTACCTGAAGGTACTTTCATTTTTTCTCTAGCTGGCTTCATAAATTCAAGAGCATAATGAAATTTACAAAGAAAAGCTTCATAGTAAAACAGCATCTGCTGACAATATAGCTATTATCCAGTCTCTTTTATCATTGTGGAACAAATTTGCTAATTATTCTTCTAAATGAATATACAATATGGATGAAACTGCCCTATTTTATTAGTTGAAACCAGATCACTCGTTAGCCACGTAGCATCTTTCTGGATATAAAAAAAATAAGAAATGTATTACTATTGCTTTGTGTGTGAATTCTGATAGTTTATACAAGCTGAAGCCTCTGGTTATTGAAAATATGCATGACTACAATGCTTCAAGAATGTTAAAATTTCTAATATGCCAATAACCTACTGGAGTAATACTAAGGTCTGGATGCTAACAAGTCTTTTTTAAAAATGGCTTCGAGACTTTAATCAACAAATTTTAAAAAAACATAAAGGCAGATCAGTTTTATTGTTCCTCGATAATTGCTTAAGTCACAAAACTGATAGTTTAGTTTTTCAAAATGTAGAAATAAATGTTTCTTGCCTAAAAATACAACCTCAAAGATTCAGCTGATAGATACTGGAATCATTATGTCTTTCAAAAAAAATTATTGTTATCACCATATCTGATGGATGCTTAATAAAATTGAAAGTGGCAAAAATGCACAAGATCTGAAGATAGATATTTTACATGGCATTAAATATATTATTCAAGGCTGAAACGAAGTTATGAAAAAAACAATCAAAAACTGCTAGCATTATACTAATCTCTTTCCTTTTTGGAATAATGTGGATATTGTTAAGGATAAAGAGAAATTGCTTGAAGATCTATTGCTTGAAGACTTTTTAAAAATATCAAAGATCTCAATTTTTCTGACCCAATGCAAATAGAAGAGTATCTAGATATTCCTGATAAAAATATCATCTACAAAGTTCCTGATAATAATCAAATTATTTCAGATCTCGTAGAAACATTTAGAGAGAGATCTGATGAAATGGAAGATAAGGATCCAGAAGAGGCAAGCAATAGTGTTGAAAAAGAAATCGTAAATCCAAGTGAAGCCTTTAAAAGCCTAGATAATATATGTACCTTTTTGCTTCAGCAAGAAGGTGCAAGTGAATATATAAAGTAAGTTAATATACAGTCAACTCTGTATATAACAAACCTTTTTATAATGAACTCTGGATATAACAAACTTAAAATTTTTAAATTTTAATATTAATTCGGTATAACAAGAGCTATAGCTCTTAAGAAAACATAGTAATACTATATAAAGAACTTTTTTTTTGGCCAAAACCAAGAGTTCAGTATAGAAAGAGTTGAATATATTCTATATACTCACAATAAAGCACTCTTTTAAATTTTAATAAACTTCTTTTTATGTTCTTTAGGCAGCATTATTTTATAATTACAAAACATATTTTAATTATAGATCTATTGATACAATTTATAAATTTCTTTTTTGCTAAAAAACTTATTCTTAATATAAAAATTTTTGTGATATCTACTATATTTCTCATAAATCTTAGTATTTACTACACGTAGACCGAAATAAGTATATTAGTAATTAGTTTATCAAAACTAAAAAAGAAAATAGTATTAACCACAATATGATTATATGTATATTAAAGATAAACATAGTATATATAACAATATTTTATATATTATATAAGAATTTAACTATAATGAGTAATAAAATGCTTATATATATAATAAGGTTTAACTAAAATAGAATAATAATAAAAATAAATATATCAAAAGACACATTAGACTCTTGGTAGCATGCTGATACTTATATTAAGAATCTGATTTCTATTATAATTAAAATATAAATATAATGAACTTATAAATTATATAGCTAATATAACTATATTTATATTTTACAACAGGGTGAAACCCATAATAAAAACCTATGAAAGTGGTTATATTATTAATACAAATCACTATCTAATATAGTAACTAACTCTAACTTAGTTTTATATTAACAACATAACTATTTTTGTTGTATGTTTCACCCTTTTATTATATTTTTATTATTAATAATAATATAATTAATTAATAAAATCAATTGGTCTAGTTATTAGTAATAGTACCCTAATATTTATTTCAAATTAAATAAATTAAATTCGATTAAATAATAAATATCTTATAAATAAAATATCTAATATTAATAATATAATTATTGATTTATTGGAATTTTAATAAGTTTTTAGTTAAAATAAATTTATAACAAAAAGAACTTTAGTATTCTAATATCTATTTAGAGAAATCACAATTCAGAATTTTAAATTTTATAATTTACAAGATTTAGTATATTTGATTTCTTAGAGACTGTATTCAGAATTTAAAATCTCGAAGCCTATATATAAGTGACGATATATGCTTTGTTTTGATACTACAAATATTTTTACATCTATATAAGAAAACAAAATATATAAAAACACACTGTAACACTTGTATAATATACTCTTCTCTATTTCTTTTCAAAGATAATAAAAAAATAGTTTTTATTTTTTTTATTTTATTAATAAGCACTTACTATATTACTCAAAATACAAAAAAAGTTTTCATATTATCCAATATAATTCTTTCATATACCTCAAGTGTTTTTAGTATTTTTCATTTATCCTTAAGTATTTTTTATTTATTAGTAACTGTCGCGGATTATAGTGAAATCAGATCTTCATAAAATCTAAGACCTTAATTAAAAAATATAAGCCCTCACAATCCTAACAAAACCTACTTATTCTCTTTTATTATAAACCCTAACCCTAAATACTAGTCTGGATTCAAAAAAAAGCCTAAAAAAATATACCCCAAAAAATTTTAAAAATTAGAATTTCACGA